ACTAATGAGAAGAGTTTCTTAAAAATGCTGGGAGTTTATCAGAGGAAAGTGACATATTAGAATTAAATTTGGGATATTACTCACTTGGTAGAGTGCACGTTTCCAGTATGGTACAACTGTATTAAAGGTAGGTTGACTCCTTCAACACATCAGATAAAGGAACATTCTGTAGAAATGGGGCTGTATTCATGCTGTACTTATGCTGATAATTATCGTTTTGGTAAACACGCTGTTGAGGGAGAGGATGAGTTAAACTCAAGGGATTTGTTGGAAAAGAAAGCAATTGGCATAGACTGGACACGATTGAAATTAGTGTCAGATTTTGGGGAAATCCTTGATGTCTGTACTGCGTTCTTATTTTCTTCTGTATTGTAATGCATAGGTTGTTCTGAAAGTAATGTCTGCTATTTATTTCCATGGAAAGCACAACAGATACAAAGAAAACATTAACACTGTTTCATAGAGCAAATTCTCAGCTGCAAGTCAGTTTTTTCAGCATAGTCACCACTATTGGCTATGCATTTTTGCCAGTGATGAAGAAGAGTGCGCATGGCATGCTTGTAAAAACCTGCCCAACCTTCTGCATCGCTGTCTTACATCCACTATTTGGTCTTCATAAATGTTCAGCAAGTGTCAGTGAATGTCAGTGGGTGGGATCTTTTCTACATAAAGAAATTCAACTCCACTCCTATGCGCTTTCCTGCCCGGCACCATTTTGTCAGATTGCCCCTCTGCTGCCATCTGTTGCCCAGCAACAATGTGTAACACAATATTGGTGGGAAGGTTCAACCTCTACTGCTGTGCCACCAGCATCTGCCTCTGACATCATAGGCCAGCATAACAAAACCAGAGGCATTTATTTTGGAGCAGTCTTTGTACAATTTATTTATTCCTCAGCTACATTTTCAAAAAGGAAAAGAATGGATTGAAAACATGCAGCTTGCCTGACACAGTGTAATGATCACATCACATTACGTGGCGATGGGAGGTTTCGTTTTGTGTTGGCTTGTGAAGACTCAGGCTCACTTGGTGCCTGTAGTCGTCGTGTTCTGCTGTGGCACAGATGGACAAATTGAACTTCTTTTAAGCAGTAACATACCTTCTGGCTATGGGCAAAGACATGCTTCTGGCCAAAGCCAGAGCCTGGTGTCATCTCGATCTGTCAAGCTCAGCTTTGCTTGCTGACAAGCGTAGTTGTTTTTCTTATATGTTATGCCTAAATTGTCCCATTCTTAGTTACATCCTTTTTTACTTACTTGTATTTTTTGTAACACATTCAGTATGACAAGTGCCTCTGTTTCTTTGGTATTCAAACCTTTTAAAATTGTTAGTGTGCTTCTCCTCTGCTATTCCTTAGCCACCTTTAGAATCTTCAGCTATTTTAATCCTTTTCCTAAGTAAATTCCTCCTGCATGCTGCTCATTTATTTGCTTTCTGTAAACACATTCCGTGTTGTCTGAATCTCTGTTAATGAGGTGTCTTAAAGTGAATGCAGGATTCCAAGGGTGATTTAAAATTTATTTTTTTTTTACTACATTCAGTAAAGCAAAGCTGGTAGACCCTGGTAATCATGAGGACCTCATGCTGAATGACAATCGGGGAGAGGAATGATGACCTCTCCTGTCATAACAAAATGTCTGTGTTTACTTTGGTTTTGCTACCGTAAATCATTGCAACCTTTTGTCTAATTTGCTCTGCACCTTCACCCCAAGGTCTTATGCAGCCTAAATGCATGCTGAATTCCTCTCTTCACCAGAGTAGAGGTTTTCATGTGTTTGTTTTCTCATTTCACCTGACTGCATTCTTCCAAAATGAATTCTTTATAAGTTATTTATCCAGTGGCATTTTCAGTAAGAGTGCACTGAAGGCCAATAGTGATGGAGCACTGTATAGAGAAAGCAAAACAGGGGTAAGCATGTATGGGAAATTTGGTGGCTTAGATGACAAGTTCTTCTGATTGTTTTTCCACAAATGTTTTAAGTACCTTATTCCCTTGTATATTCAAAAATCACACCTTGTCCTGGTTCCCTTTTCACTGCTCCATTGGGAATGTAGAAATAGAAAGTTGGGAAAATGGGAAAAGCAGACTTCAATTTTTTTTTTTTAATTTTTTTCCACTCAGAATGGTTAGTGAAAGTATTTTTGTACTAAGTCTAAGAATCCTATCAGAATATCCACATTTCAGTCCTTCAAGTGTGCATTAGATAAGTATGTACAGAAAATGAAGCTATGTAAGTAAAGTTTTACAGAACTGGACATATGAAACGTCTCTATCAGAGGTCGTATATAGCACAGGTAACTTTGAAAACTTAAGGGGCTGTATTGCAATTAATGTATGCAAGAGGGTTGCAGTTATTTCTTAACTTTCTGTAAGTATGAATTGCTTTTGCCTGAGCTATAATGACAGATCACTATTCACATTTTGCACTCTAAACCTTAGAAATATAGACTTCCTTTTTGTTCAAAATTCGAAAGTATTGATGTTTTGTACCTTAAATTAATTTTTCAATTTTGGAGGTATGTCAGCAAACAAAAATGCACTGAAATACTTTAATGAGCTGCTCCATCTCTTACTCTATTTTTTTTTTCAAAATTAAAGACTATTTTATATGACTAAATTCTACAGAATGCTTTCCTCTCTCTTGAAGAGGTGATAGTTTATTTTCAGTGGATTAATTACTGCAAACGTTCAAGGCTGTACTATAGGGAAGAAGTGAATGTAAGTATGGTGGAGAGGGAAGAGAAGTTTGTCTTGTACTTATTATCCAGTATTAGGAGGGCTGTGACCGCTCTAAGGTGACCCATGCTTAAGTTCACCTTAAGGTGGGGTCCCTGAGCTTCTGTTGTGTTGTTTTATGGACTGCAAAAGGCTATGACCCCAGGTATTTAATCTGTCTGCTGATGCTGACTTAAGAGGGTACATCTTCACTGCATCTTTAAGCAGTCATGATGTCCGAGTCCACTTTTCCCAGTTCCTGGGAGACTGCGTGAATGAATGACTGGCTCAAGACTGGCACATCCTTGGAGTGTCAGCAAGTTCTGCTTAGCTTTTCAAAGATGTCTGAGCACCTGTACTAAAGTAAATTGATAAAGGAGACCTGTAAGAGTTTCTTAACAAATTCACAGAATGGTTGAGGCAGTCAGTGACCTCTGGGTCCATCTGCTCCAACTGCTGCTCAAAGCAGGGACACCCAGAGCAAGCTGTTCAGCACTGTGTCCAGGTGGCTTTTGAAGACCTCTAAGGAGGAGACTGTGGAACTACTCTGGCAACCTGTGGCAGTGCTTACCCACCATACAGTAACAAAATGCTTCCTCATCTCTAGATGGAATCCCCCGTATTCCAGTTTGTGCCCATTGCCTCTTGTGTTGGCACTGAATGCCACTGAGAAGAGCCTAGCTCCATCTTCTTTGTACCCTCCCTTCAAGCATTTACAGACATTGATAAGATGCCTCCAAGCCTCTTCATTTCAATCTGAACAATCTCTTCAGAGGAGAGGAGCTCCAGTCTCTTCTTTTTGGTGGCCTTATGTTGAACTATTTCCAGTATGTTTGTGTCTCTTTCCAGGGTGTCAGTATTTCATATGTTCATGTCTATCTTGTGCTATCCTTCATTGCTTCAGTGATCTGTGCTGGTAATTCAGAAGGAAACATTTTTCCCCTCCGTCAGAACTCACGGTAGTACCTATGTGGAAATAAGGAACTGCATGACTGTGATATACCACCTGGTTGTCTGATTTGGTATGAGGTCAGCATTCGCCATGATTCTGTAATGGCTCCAGCTCTCACCTGAGCTGTGGAGGGCTGTCTCTCCTTGTTCTACAGTTGGTGTGCTGCAGAAACAGTTCTTATTCTTCCTTATCATTTGTAGTTACAAGAGCATTCTTCATAAGGATGGTGTTTTAGCTTGGTGGCTGGTGGTCTTCCAGTTTCTCTTCCAGGCTGTGGTATGGAGCTTTGTGTACTTTGTCCTGATGCAATAGTGTGGCATTGTTCTATGGCTACCTAAAGAGGAAGTCACTGTGCTCCTCTCAGAGGCTGCTGCATGCTGTAAGTGGTAAAACAAGACCTTGTCTGGCTGCAAAGCATTTTGCAGGACACACTGTTGTAAGTATAACATCACCTCTGCTTATGGGGACAGCTGTCTGTATGCTGCTTATACTGTGTCTGGTGGCATTTATAACGATTGTCTTTTAATTGGCTTTTAATCGCTTGGTCAGCACTGTGTTGTGTAGCATTCTGCCACTTTTCCTGGTGGTGCAGGGAGGCCTGGCAGTGGAATGTCAGGGTTGAGAGGTTTCTGTGTGACCGTGGTGAGGGATTGATCTGAGGCCCTGCTATTGTTTGTTTGCACCTAGGAGGTTGTTAACTTGAATAACATCTCTGGGTGATGAGGAGCACTGGCATGGAGGTACACAGCAGTGATAGTTTGATTTAAACAGCTTTCCTGTGCTTTGTCTTCACAGACATCATAAATCTGATTAGTATGGGACAGAAGAAAGGAAGAGGGGAAAGTGGGGAATGGTGTGATGCAGGGAAGGCAGAGGGAACCCATATTTGCTCTAGTAAGCATTTGGACAGGCTGAATCTCCTCCCACCCATTCACTTTTGGTTCCTGCTGTCATCCGTGGGTGGAAACACGAGTCTTCCTACAACTCATCTCAGCAGCTTCTTCCATGCCTTCATTGTTGATGTTTATCTGCCTGTATCTTCCATCTCATTTTCCTCCTCCTTACCAGAAACTGTTCATACAGATGTTTTCTCTTTTTTTTTATGGCAGGCAAGTGTTCTAAAATAACTCCTGACTCCACAAACATCTTCATGTTGCCTCCTGTGTGGATTCTTCCCTAAACACGCTTGATCACTTTGCAGTTAGTGACAGCATAAGGACATTGGCTTGTGCCAACCTTTTGGTCCTGCAGAGACATACAGGGACTGCTCCTGTCCCTAGCAGGCACGCTGCTGTGGGTGGCACTGTGTGACCAGCTCCTGTTTCCTCACAGATCTCTCGCAACTTGGGGAAACTCTACAGTGAAATGATCTTTGTGAATGGTTTTGTCCACTGCGACCCACACCCAGGCAACGTGCTGGTGAAGAAGTGCCCAGACTCTGGCAAGGCCTACATTATTCTCCTGGACCATGGGCTCTACCAGGTATGTAATTGGGGGGGCTTCCAGGTCTCTGCAGGACTCCCTTGAATATCAGGCTGGAGGATCATAACCAGCTGCACTGTTGCTCCTTGAAGCCTGTATGAATTAATTTCTCCTATTTCTCCTGTAACTCTCCAAGGAAACTTCCTGACTCTGACACGGGGGATAAGGCACAGCTAGGGGACACAGTTTTCCTCCTCCTTCCTTCTCTGTGGACTTCTGAGAGGTCATGTCTTTCTCCTCAGGTGCTGAGCGAGTCATTCCGCATGGACTACTGCCGCCTTTGGCAGGCCCTTATCAAGGCTGACATGAAGAGGGTGCAGAAGTACAGCCGGCGGCTCGGGGCAGGGGATTTGTACCCTCTCTTTGCCTGCATGCTCACTGCCAGGTCCTGGGAATCTGTCAACAGGGGAATTGACCAGTCACCAGTCTCAGCCAGCGAGGTAGGATACATGGGCCCTTCCATACTGGGAGTCCTTCCTTCTTGGATATCTTCCCTTGTTTTAACCACTTGCACTGCTGATACCACAGTGATATTGGACAACCCTTGGCAGGTCCACAGCAAATTCTGCATTGACAGCTAAGCTAGAAAAAGTGAGGCATTTTTCTGTAATGTGTTTTATAGTGACTGAACTTAATTTCCCAGTTTCGCTTGTCATGGGCTGCTTAAATTTTGTATAATATTCTAATGGGTTAGTGCTCACCAGTTCTGGGAAGGCAAATCAGCTTTTTCTTAAAAAGAAGTGTTTAATGCAGCTGTGCAGGCAACCAGCAAGGATAGGATGAGGCAGAGGAGACATAAAGGCTTAGTGGGAAGAAGACATGAGAAGGGTAATGCATTATCACTATTCATGTAAATGACTATCAGCACTGATACAAACTCCTAAAAACCCTTGGAAATTACCTCCCAATCAGAAAACCTATTAACTTGAAGTCAAGGTTGCTTAACTGCAGGTTCTGTCAACTCAATCACTACAAATCTAGGAAATTGCCACTTACGTTCTCCCCCCCTTTCCTATCTGCACATGCTGGGATCCTTCTCACACCTCCTAGTGCTCGTTACGTTCACACAGTGCCTTAAGAATAGTAGCAGCCCCTGCCAGCTGTGCTGTTTTTAGAATTGAGCATATACTGATGTGATTTCAGTGTCTGTAGGGAGAAATATATTGTATTATATGGTTTGTTCTTATCTGCACACATTTATTGTAGATAGGATGAAAATAATTTAAGTAGCATTAAAATATTGTTATGTTAAATTCTCTTCTGGAAATTCCTTTGGGTTGCCATTTCATTTTGATGGATGTGGCTGAATTTGCTCTTCTAGCTTGCTGTTACGCACAGTAGTGAATAGGCCAGATACCTTGGGTAAAAGAACATCCCTGGTAACTTGATTGCTTCCTACCTAAGTTAATTTTGTGCATATTAGAAATGACTTAATGACTGTTTAGCAGATTTGTGCTTGGTCTGCTGAGTTCTGAAGCTGGTAGCTCCAGAAAAAAAATGTAGAGACACTAAAGTGAACCACCACAGTACTGACTACGGGGCCAATACTTCAAGGCTAGTGTTGAATCTGAGCTAGTAAGCAATGTTTATTCTAAACCAGCCTACGTAAGTTATGCTAGAGATATAACCATGGCTGCATGGTGCCTTGTGTGGGCTAACGAACTTAGTCAGAACTGGATTGCTTGTACGGAGCCAGCTCTGTTGCCTCTGCCTACATGACACAATTAATGCTGAAACTGGATAATCCCGTAGCAGATAATGGGGAGCTGAGCAGATTTACTATGGCATTAGGAAATGAGCTGCTGTTTGCCCTTAGTTTAGAGGTGAATTTGAAAGATTGTATCAGCAGAGAAAGCCAAGTGGCTCTGGTAGGCAGGTGCCATCAGCTAGGGGCTTGTGAGAGAGGGTACATGAGGGTGGATTGACAGGAGAATGTTCTGTGAGACCCTCCTGATACAAAATCTTAGCTGCAGTGCGATGTCCAATCTGGGGCACTGCCTCTGGAGGAAGGTTTGATGAAACTTGGGAGAGGCCAGTGGGAAGCCGAGGACTGGTGGTCAAGCAGATCTAACTCAGGAGGTAAGTCAGGGCAGAAGCAATCTAGAAAAGTGCAGGCTGAGAATTTATGTATGTGATTTCAGTCTGTTAAAGACTGCTGCAAACACGACAGGAAGTAGCGGGCATAAAATTCAGCTAAGAAGTTTTGGGTAAGAATATGAGAAAAGCCAGATCTAGTGGAAAGGGTAGTGAGATAGTGGTGCAATGGTCTGGGGAGGATGCCAGTCACATCACTGGAGAGTTTTAAGAGCAGGCTGGGCAAACGCATGAGGATTGCTATAGGTATAGTTGTTCATGCCTTAAGCCAAGGCAGGCAGCTGACTGCTCAGGGTGGCTGCTAGCCCTATCTCATCAGATTTTATGATTGTGTTTTGCTGCATCCCGCAGCTGTCTCTGTGATTGCAGCCAAGGGGCTTTTCTCAGGTCCTGTGGCACAGCTCATTTCTTCCTCCATGCACAGGCTTCACTCCTGACAGAAAATGGCAGTTCTGATGACAGATCATGTGGCTGCTTTGTGATGTGTACAAACAGCTGGAGCTAAAAATAAAAGGAAAAGAAAGAGAAAACAAAACCTCTTTGTGGAAGATAAAGTACCCGCTGCTGTGGTGCTGGTGAGGGTAATGAATATCAGCAGAGAATTTTCTGCCAACAAATAGTGTAATGAAACATATAACATTTAGGAGAACTGAGCATCTTCTTGCTGAAGCTTTGTGTGTTTGGTCAGTGATAGAGCCAGAACATCATTTATAATTTATTTGTCAACACCAAAGCAACCATGGTGGTGCTTGAGCTAGATATACCTATGACCATCATGGTCTGTATACTGCTTTGTGGGCTTTTTCCTCTGTATTGAGTCTAAAGTTTGCAGAAGTTGAATATGAGATCTCATATCATGAAGTATGTACACACCATCTGTCATTCCACAGGAAAGAATGTTTTACAGCAATCCTTTCCTTTCCTTACAAAGGACCCTCTCTCTCTTTAAGAAGTCATTTATTATCCTCTACATCTGTCCCGTTGGATTCTGGCTGTTTCAGGGACTTTTTTGGGGGGTTTACCAATTCATGTCACAGCTGTTGTAGGAAGAGGTAGGAGCACAATGTGTTTGGAATCAGATCTACCATCCTGTCCTACATTTACTGGAGTGATGGTGGAACTGTCAGATGTAAGAAGAAGCAGGTCCAAGGCAGAGGGCTCACTGTTTTACAGGCTACAGTAGAAGCCATCTTACATGGTTCAAGCCTGTCAGTAATTGCTGAGCTGTGCCATCCTAGGTAGAGATCTTACCTTGGTTAGTATATTTGTAAGCTGGGGAGCTGAAGAAAAGGAAAGATCTCTCTGTGTGTGCCTTGATTTTTGTACTTCTTTCAATATCTGATCGTGGCTGCTGCAAGACAAAATATAGATGTGTCAGACCAAGGGTCCTACAGATGACAATTTTATGATATTTTGGGTTAACATAAAGGTACGCATAATTTCTCATCTTCACTCAGTTGTGTTGAAAACAAGGACTAAACTAGGCCTTGGAAATAGCTTTACCAGTAAATCACAAAGCCTTCCGTTTCATGGGACTGCAGAACACGTGTGACATGGACCAGCCTGTTTGGTTTTGCTCTTTAATACCTGGCCTAGAGTCAGGGTCTGGTAAAAATGCTGTCTCCTTCTTCCAAATCTCAGCTGTGTCTGGACATGAGTTTCCCATGCACTCTCAGCTTTTCTGTCCTTTCTCTCTGACATGACCTGGCTGAATGCAGGATGTGGAGATCCGGTCCAATGCTGCTGCTTACCTACCCCAGATCACCCAGCTCCTCAACAATGTCCCCCGCCAGATGCTGCTGCTGCTGAAGACCAATGATTTGTTAAGGGGAATTGAATCAGCTCTGCACACACGGGCCAGTGCCAGTTCCTTCCTCAACATGTCTCGCTGCTGCATCAGAGCCGTGTCCACGTAAGTCTCTTCTCCAGATATCAGAGCCCAGACACAGAGCAGCCTCCAGATATGGAGGGCTGGCTGCTCTCTGAGGGCCAAGGGGAATCCCAGGGCCAGCAGGCCAAGGGACCAGTCTCATAGCAAGTATGTGAGCAAGTAATGTGTCAGGATTGCTGGGGTGCTATGAATGTGCAGCCAGTGAAGGCTATAGGGGTACACATCTGTCACTGTTGAAGTAAAGCTGGGCATGGAGGGAGAGGATGCCATGGCCTTGGGCTCTCTGTATACGGTGCAAAGGGAACTGGGCTCACGCAAGAGCTGGCTGTCTCTTCTGCCAGATTTGTGCCAGAAAAAGGGACCCTAGTTCCTCAGGAACTTCTGTTTGGAGAAAATCTGTACTCCCAGGAGATCTGACAGCTGGTGATTATCCAGGAGTGGGACAGTCCACTCCCCTGGGAAGGGTTGGTTGTACAGAAGGAAATTGTAGGATAGGCCATCTTCCTGTTGGGTGGTGTCCTGCTGGATCTAATGCAACTGTTTCTCTCATTCTAGGTATCAGAGGAGCAGAAGTCACTCGCTTTACAGGAGGGTCCACATCTCACTTACAGAAGCACTGAGCCTATGGCAGATCAACTTGTATGAACTCTTTCTGTGGCTGAAAGGGTCTTGTCTGGGGAACTGGGTCATTGCTTTCCTGAATCGGATGCACCATTCCACGTAACTGACATGAACTGATGGGAGAGGCTCAAGTGTTCCTGCCCTCACTTCTACTCTCCATGGCACATTTGCATTTATGACTGTTTCTTCTGTGGGCTATTCTTAGGTCTTGCTCCTTGTTACATGCTGCACTGTCCTTGCTTGTTACAACACTAGCTTTCTCTGTGGCAGCAAGAGGTGGAGTAGGTATGAGGGTTCTGCTGCTTTATAGTTTAGGAAAGGACGGTGTGGTATACTGTGTGTCAGGGAAGGCATAGTACTTTCTCTCCCCATTTGAGCTGGGGAAATTCCATACAGATTCCTGTGGTATTGCACTGGAAGCAAAAGACTTTTCTAGGCTCTTTCTTAAACAATCTTACAAAATTTAAAAGAATCACTGCCCTGCCTAGAATACCCCAAAACATTTACTTGACCCTCAAGAAGAGAGGGTCCATCCCTTTAAATTCCAATACGATTTATTTTAGATATTGCAGAATCTCCCTAGTCTAACTTCTGCTCAGATGTGCAGAGAGTTTCTCAGAGAGAAGTGAGACCTTGTGGAGAGCTGGCATTATGGCTTCTACTTCCAGCACTAGGGCACCCTAATGGTGAGAACAGTGGACTGGAATCCTGGCTTCCTGAGGTTCATCTCTTGTATTGTCAGCAAGTGCCTGTGTGGTTTTGGACTTTTTCAGTCCTGTTTCCTTGCAGTTGGAATGAAGAAGGAGACAGTGGTCTACCTTTTTTTTCAAAATTCAGGGAAAGCAAGAGGGAGGACAACTCAGGGTTCTGAAACTGCTGGTAATGTATGTGTACTGTACAGATGCTGCCACACAGCAAAATAAATGTTTCATCAAAGACATTTGTAGGAAGGATGCCAAGCTCTGTACTCAGGGTGTTATTGTGACCTCTAACCTCAGACCTGTTTCCAGGGGAGTGAGTGATGCAAGGCAGTGCTTGTTAACTGCAAGGCGAATGAAATGCTATCTTGGTCCTTCCTCTGCTCAAGAGGTTTGTTCCATATCCAGATCCTCTGCTGTTGCATCAGGTGTGTTGGGATGGGGCGGAGGAGTGGATACCATCCCCATGCTAGGACATGCCACTCCTAGCCACCCAGATCCATGCCATGCCTGCCTCCTCCCTGTCTGCAGAAGTGTGCTGCAGCACATCTGTGAAACGTCACCATCCCCATGCTGCACATTGAGCATTTTGCCTTGTCACTGCCTGTGACATTTCACTGCTCTTGCCTCAGATGAAAACCTGCCACTTGCTCGGTGGTGCAAGTGACAGGTCTGATGACTGTCACTGCAGCTGTGGGATGGTTACCAAGAAGTCTTGCCCAGTGGTATCTCTTATGCCGAACCTAGGAGATGACCCCGCTGTTTGTGCGGATTCCACCATCCAGCAAGATGGAGGTGGCTGCTGAGGTCATTTCAGCTACTTCATCAGCTGTCTTGATGAAAAAGGGGCTCCATGCTGAGTAGCAAAGATTGAATGGGAATGTTCCTTCGCTGCCACCAAGCTTGTTCAGGTTCAGCTGAGGTTCATTGAATCATTAAGGCTGTGCCTGAGAGTAAGGCACAAGAAAGGCATGTAGTCCTCCCATCTGCATACAGCTTCCCAGTTTGCACAGTTGTGAAACATCACCTTGCAGTGTGTCCACTCGCGTGTGAAGGGAAGCATGGGGCAGAAGTGTGGGTAAGTACCTGTGTGAGTCCTCAGTGAACTGACTCTCTTACTGGCTGTGCAGAAGAGGGAAGGGATTTATTCACAAAAGGTACCTGACTGTGTGTGCACTTGGACATATTGAGTTAGTGACTGTGGAAATGTGGCTTACAACAGTGACTGCGTGTGTGTGCTGTGTGTTTGCACAGCCAGCTGGCTCAGGGCTGTGAAGCAGTGTGTGACTGGCAGAGTTGTCAATGGAGAATTACTGAACGTGGGATTTTGGTCTCCTATGCAGTCAATTGCTTGAGCCTTCCCTATGATGGGGACAAGCAGGAGTGATGCGCTTTCCCACCTTTGCTAAGCGCAAAAACAGAAAGCAAACTAAGACCAAAAGCCTCACAAAGCTCGTCCCCTACCTCTGCAGTGGCGGGTCAGAGATTCTCCCTGCTTCTGGGTTGTGTAATCAGGGAATAGAGTGGAGGTGACTGCAATGATGAGACTCCTGAGTCAACACGGAGTCACAGGAACCCCAAGGTATTGATCCTGCAGTCTGGATGAGAGTAAACTGCTCATGTGAGCAGTCTTGCTGAATCAGTACCTTTCTTGGCCAGTTAAAGCTGGTAGGCTGGCCACTGGGGGGTATGCCTGTCTCGTTCTCTTCACAAGCAGAGCTATGCTCAAAAAACTGGTCAAGTGCACTCAGTGACGTTCAGGAGACTCTCTAATGATTGGTCACCCACTGTGCAGCCCCTTCTTTTAGCTGCCTCTGCAAAAACTGTTGCTTAGCCCTGTCTGGATATACTGACCAGAGCACAGTTTGGATCTCTCAAAGATCTGTGAAAGCTCATCCGTCAATGGGATTCTAGTCATATCCCTCATTTCCTGAGGATCCTGCAGCTGATATCTGCACAGATTGCTGAACCACAGCCTGCTCCCAGCCAAGCCTGTTCTTTCATTCCACCAAAACCCAGCCTCACAACTGCTAACAATGCTGCTTGAGGAAGGTGCGAGCTCTAAAAGTGGAAGGGAGTCATCAGCCCCTCAGACTCATTTTTGGCAGCATGCAGCAGTCAGACAGCAGGGTATATTTGAAAGAGCTTTGTCTATTGACATTAGTTTCTGCCGGGAGGCTGTGTGCGGCAGAATTAGCAGTGGGACTCCTCAGTCAGTTTTGCTCAGCTCTCACCCTTCCCACAGTCAATCAATGAGAGTTTGCCTGAGGAAAGAACAAGCAAACATCCAGCATTTGACCCTTTAACATTTTTGCCTTGTCTTTTTGCTGAATGCTCTCAAAGGTGAATGTGTTAAAAGTGTTTTGAAAAGACACCTCCTCATCCCAACTGTGCTTGTCGAACATGGATAACCTGCATCAGCTCTGTGCACTTGGCTTCTCCTTCCAACCTGAATTTATTGGTGTTCTCACCGCCAGAAAATGCAGTTTCTGCTGTTGTGCTTGCAGTTGACACTCTGCCTGGGTTTAGATGTGAATGAACTGAAATTTCACAGTGCTCTCTGCTTGGTGCAGGCATTGAGCATTTGCTTTAAAGCAGATTCCTCAATGTACAAACTCTTTCTCAGGACAGACAACTGGGGTGGTTGAGCTGAGGCCGGAGATGCAAAACTAATGTGCCACTTTCTGCTCCCATGGTATGAAATACTGCATTATAACTTGCTAATGTCTCCCTTCCTAACAGCTCTCAGTGCTCTCAGATGTGCTGAGAAGGCAAAAAAAAAAAAACAAAAAAACCCCTTCCAGCTGATATTTAAATGTGCATCCCTGGGTTGGCTTAAGATGGAAAAGGGGGGTAGTCAGTGAGAATGATGTTGCCTTGCAAAGCTCTGCAGGAGTTTAGAGTTGGAAGTGAACAGACTTCTTTCATAACCAAATAAAAAAAAAAAGTGAGAAAACATTACTCCAAGCTAAACACCAGAGCTTTACCTAACACATCCAGTGAACTTTAATGACAGTGGGTTGGCTGCATACAGATGTACAGATTTAGGCTGCAGTGTGCCCTCTGCTATCACAGGACCTGTGAACCTGGTGCAGTCACAGTGTAGAGGCTTTCCAAATGAGCCACTGTCTGCATCTTGTAGCAACTGAACTGCAGCCTGGCTGGGCAGGCAATGGTCATTCTGCCATGCAAGGGGGACCAGCTTTGGCTACTTCACTGTGGGCCATTTAACAGCGGTGCTGGCAGTCCTGCCAGGCTGCAGGCAGCTCCTTGGAGAGCAGCATGAGGTTCCGTGTGATGCTGTGTGCTCCCAGCAGTTAATGTTTCTAGCTCAGATTGGGAGATTGGGGTTTGGAGGGGAGAAGACTTGAAGAAAGGAAAAAGGAAAAATAAAGATATGCCATCTTTCCCATTTAGTTAGTAAAACTGGTGTGTCAGTAAACGGATGCATAATCTTTAAAAGCTTCTGGACTGCTCTCCCTGCTTTTTGTTTTGCAGGTTGCTCAGACACATGCAGGGAAAGTGAAGAGTTCCCCTCCCGCAGCCCTGCATGCCACTGCAGTGTGGTGTAATGCTGAAGCACAGCCATTTGCAGGCATCTCTGAGCTTTTTTTGGGCTCTGTCTCTGTGGAACTTTCATGTGGCTGTTACCCTTCCTCCTCCATATAAGACTGGGGGCTCTCCTAAGCTTTTTGTTCCAGCTGGTCAGCTAGCAGCTGTCACTTGCTGGGGATGGCAGGCTGGTGCATTTGAAGCCCCCAGCTGTGGGGCCAGTTGTGGCTCCCTGTGGTACAGAGCTGGGAGGCTCGGCACTGCTCTGCAGTCCCTCTTGGCCACCTGGCTCCAGCTCCACCAACATTCCTGCAGGCTGGGGCCATCCTTGTTACTTCAGGCATTTGTTCAGGACTGTAAAAGAGGTGAAGAGTGAGAGAGTGGCATCAGTAATTCGTGAATTACCCTCCTGAGAAACATTATCCTTCCCAAACATCGTGCAGGTGCCAGTAAAGTCCCCTGACTTCTTACTCCATGAAGACTCACTAGAGCCTTTCTCCTGAAAAGAAAACGTACCAGCAAAGTCATAGCCCTGCTGAAAAGGAGCAGGAGGGGGTTGTGGTGGACCCACATAAACATGAGCTGATGGTGTGTTCTCATTTATATTGGTGGAAGCCACATCCTTGGTTATATCAGGAGCATGTCTGGCTTGTTGTCCTCCTCTGTTTGGTGCTGATGCGTCCACACCTGAACCATTGCTCCCCTTTTGAATCTCTCATGTCAAGAGGATGTTGATAAACTGGGCAGGGTCTGGTGGAGGGCTATCAGCATGGCCAGGACCTGCTTCCTCCAGCTTGAGAAGGAGATGGACTTACTAAGTCTGGCAAAGGTGAAGTAAAGGGATGTTCTGATAATGGGTAACAACTGAGGAGGAGTTAGAGAGACAACAGAGCCAAAATCATCTTGGCAGTGCCGGATAATTTAATGTGGGCCAATGACCACAAGTTATGCCTTGGACAATTGAACTGGAACCAAAGAAAAAGTTCCCCAACCTGGGCTTGTCTTTTCTCTGAAATAATGCCCAGGCCAGTGCTTGCCAGCCATTTTGCAGACTGTGGCTGTGAGCCTGGGTGCCCTGGCTTGAAGCCAGGCTGGGCTGCTCACCTTGCAGCTTAAATTGGCCAGGCATTTCTCAGTTCCTTCTTAGATGAAACCCACGTGTTTTGGTGCATTCATGTGAAGGGGTTGTGCGCTCCTCTCCAGGATCCTGCTGGGAGCCTGTTTGTTTACACCAAGGCTGCCTGAAGCTTCAAAATAGGAGTAAATTCTGCTTGCATCCAGATGAAGTCTTCTTGAGTGAGCTGAAGGGATGTTAAGTGACCTTTGTGTGATGGGAATTGGGGCTTATGCAGGAAACACCCATCATTTCTTCATCTGAGGGCATTTGGGCCCCTTGTTGCAGGATCTGTGTACAACTGAGAACTTCCCTGCATCTCCTTGGGAGGCTGCAGCCAGTTCTTCAAAGGATAGTGATCCAAGTCTCTGTCATCTCCAGGAATCATTGCAGTGTGTTCACCCTCAGCTAAGCTTGAAGGAGCTCTGAAAGTTGCAGCTCAGGCAAGAGGTGATTGTGCACTTCTCTGTGTGGCTTCCATTGAGCCTGTGACACATTCAGGAGCACCAGCCTCCTTCAGGAGCCTCAGTGCAGCTCAAGATGATGTTCTCAAAAGGGAACTGCCTTTCTGAGTTG